GTATAGCCATGACCTTTGTGATAAAATCAGGAAAAACAGATGGAATAGGCCACATCGGAGGGACCCAGAGGTGTAGTCTGGCATCTATTTTCATATAAGTGTATTTGAACATCTTCCTAGTTAAGTCAGGAACTTATAAATGACAGCAAAGCAGTCCTGCAGAAAAAAGGTGCTACCATGGACTGAAGTCTGTATCCCCAGGACTAGAGAATGTTAAGCATTTTCATACCCTCATCTGCCCTTTGTAGAAGAGTGTTGATACAGGCATTGGACAAGAACAGAGTGATACTTTCAGTGAAGCCATATGGAATATTCTTGGGGCTGACAGAAGAAAATAAGCCCTCAATAGACTGGCAAGTCTTGCAGTCACTGAAAACAGCACAGAGCATGACTGAGATTGTGCAACAGGGCTGGACCCTTCAATGAGCACCTGTGACTCTCAAAAACCCTATTAAGGATGACCAAGTTTGCTCCCAAATTCAACAAGACCCACCAATATTCAAGAAGCCAAAGCAGCCTGGAGGGTTGTCTTCCACACAACTTGAGCATCCATTGGAAAATCTCTCAAATCAAGAGAATGGGTCTTCTCATTGGCCACAATATACTCCATATGACTATGTTCATATTGAACAGAAATGACCTTGTTTGGGATTTTAAGGACCAAATGATACCTGAAAGTTCGAAAAAGCAAAACAAGCTGCAAGCTGGTGCTGGCATTTAATGCTAAACTAAAAATGCTTGTGAATACAAGTTCATCCACACATAAGATGGACATACAGACTTATTCAAATGTAAGACAACTTTCCAGTTTCTTCTGCCAGAGAAGTATACAGGACATTGAACACAAATTGTCATTTCTTTAGGGTAACCAGTATCATGATTCAAACTCTCCAGCATTTTACTGGAAATTATATCATTATCTCATTCCCAAGAAATTACTCTGAAGCCATTTCTGTTCTTACTTCTGTTGCTAAGACTCAGGGTTGCATTAACAGAAGCTCTTTTCCTTAACACCTTCATTGAATTCTGAAGCATAGATGCACAAAACCTACCAGGTTGTGCGTGCCTAAGAAGGAAGAGTCTGAAGGGATTCTAGATGATGTAGCAAATAGATCTGCTGCACTAACATATTCATAATGGTCATCTTGTTGTTGACCAAGACTTCCGTAACTCAGGTTTTGCTGGTTGTACACACCATTTTCCCTCTGGGAGCAATCTCCAAGAATCAACATGCCGATGTGTCAGTAATTAGCAGCTGACTCCAAAGTTTGGCTGAAGCCGTCAAGCCATCTAGGATTTTATAAATCCTTACCCATGCAAAATTTACATCAGAATAAATAATTCAGCACAGTTTCTTCGCCCCTCTCAATTCCATGTCATAAAACAGAAATCTCGTTTACGGTCATTCCATTTATTTTTTTTTAAGTGGAATTGTAAAAAAAAAAACTATCCTGAAATTTTGTGCAATAAATGCATGAATTAAAGTAGGCAAACAGCTGTTAGACTGTTCTCTAGTCTACTATAACCTGACTGGACACCCTCAGTAATGTTCTGTAAATCTCATTTTGTCTGTATCTGCAGAGGATGATCTTTCTCATCAGATTAAATGGGAAAGAAGGTATTTGCACAGGTGTTTTGAAGTTCTTATGGCTTTTTTCACAGATTTCTGCTGTTGAAAGAATATATCAGAATCCATCTATTAGCTCCAAATAAGCAAATCAAGCTGCTTCTCTTTTGGATATCAGAAAAATTATATCTCTGAGTCTTGGAAATAGGTACTTACAGGCTGTAGTAAGAAAGTCCTTGATCTTTTTTCACATCTATGAAATAGGTTGATGTGGGAGGATAGAACAACTAGAAAGCATATCTGACCTCAGTTTATTAGTTTAAACACAGTTTCATTATCAGGTTAACAACAATAATGGAAAAATAAAGGAAAAATACCATTGTATTTCATTCTTCCACATGAAGTATAATGTCACATTGCAGGATGAACAGCAGCATGTCTGCATGGTTGTCTTAAGTGACAGGGAGAAACTGAACCACATTTTGCCTCTGAAAACATGAGTGAAGAATGCATCTGTACACTTGGCCCTTTAAAAAAAACAGAAGAACCTCGCAGTAAATTTAAGACAGGTCTGAGATTAGTCACATCCTAGAAAATACTGTGCGCTAATGTTTTCACTGCAATCTGTTCATCCAAAAGTTCTCTCCTTCACACAGAGCAAATGCTTTGCTTTTTAGGAAGTGCTATAAACTGTGGTTTTAATTAAGCATTTAATACTCGTGTCCCACCACTAGACCTTCTTCCCTGTAAAAGACAATCGTGAAAAGGGCTTATTTTTTAAATTGGTCCTTGCAGAGAGCCTGCAGCTTTATAGATTTATTAGGAACATGGGATAATATTGGTTTACCTGAAATTAATTACTCTGTATCCTTGACACATCAAGCAGTGTAGAAGCAGATTAGAAATTTTGTCTGCATGATGACAGCTCTTGCCCAAAATTGTTATCATCAGTGACAAACTAAGTTACCAGTACATTAGCAATGTGTTGCAGAAGACACTGATAACATTTCAGAAGACTGTTATTTTGGAACAGTGTTGAATACTACAAAATACAAAATTGTTATGCCACTTAACAGTCCAAAAAGTAAAATGTATTAATAGATACCAATTGATAATATAACTGGTTCAAACAACCTTTCATCACTTGCAAAAATTCCTCTGTCCATGTTGTCTTCAATCTTGCCAGCCTGATTTTGTTTTGTGAAAATTGTTACCATACAGTTTAAACCTGGAAAATGAAAACTCTGCTCCTGTCAAATACATTACTGGACAGTCAGTTGCAGATTAGCCCTTCTTTCCAGTTTAAAGCAGAGATGGTAAGTAGCTCAGCATGAAAGTAGCTTTTAAAATTGATGTTTCCCAGAGTTTGCCATCCTGTTTTTTTGTAAGAAGTCTTTCAAGTGAGAATCTCGAGCTTGTTGGCCATTTATGACAATTTTAAAGCTCTTACTTGATGCTGTGGTGTTTGTAACTCATGACTGCAATCAAAACAGTCCAGCTCAACAGCATGCAGGCCACTTGCCCACCCAGGACTTACCGTACAGAGCAGCTGGAGGAAACAGCTTACATTTATCTAAAAGGCTGTTGCTCTTTAGGGGCAAACAACGTCCCAAAGCCAATGAGGTTTGGATCTGGCCATGCTCCCTTGAGACATGTCTATGCTGCAAGTGCTGGGCTCTGCCATGCTACTAACAACTGGGAGCAAAGCACCAGGAGAAGCTCCATCTCCGAAGCCATGCTTTTTTCTCCAGGTCTAGAAAAACATGTTTTCTTTACTCAGATGCAAAGTATTTAGGATGAGGGGTTGGGCTCCAAAAGTACAAAAAAGAAAAGGACAGAAAAATTTCCAGTAGTCACACAGAGGAAGAACATATTTCTGGCCTTTTGAACCTAATTTACTCTTTGTTCTGATTGGCCATTTATCTTGGCCTCAGTTCCTGACCAAATCCCTTACTTGGTATCCTAGTAAAAATAAGTTCCATACTCAGAACATGGTGCTTTTGTTTACTGTTTACTTGTTTTGTTGTTTTTTTTTCCTATAGGATGCTACTAGAAAAGCCGTTGCTATTTAAATGTGAAACAACGCTGCTGTTGTTGTAGCACACCTCTTTGAACTGAATCATTTTGAATTGAAAAATTCATTATTCAGATTTTGAAGGATTTTCTCACTAAGGAAATCAGTAGCCCGGAGGGGTGTGTGTGTTTGGGTGAAGCACTGGTCAGACTGACCCAAGCTGCACTGTCTGCTCCCAGGATCTGGGAGTGCTTTCAGAGGTTTCAAGTAAATCCCCTGCATAGCCAGGAAAAAAAAAAAATAGTATCTGAAACGAGAGTGCATCTTCTGACACAGCGCTGAGCTCCCCCTCACTGCAGGGCGCAGTTATTAGAGGATTTTAATGTTTCCAGACTCACAGAAGATCCCTTGAGCCCAAGATCCCCGATAAAAAAAGGGAGAGCCTCCTGTGTGTAAGGGTGAGCCCCGTCCTTCGCTGCTCCAGAAGCGGCTCAGGAACGCAGCTGAAATGTCTAATGGACAGCATCTGCCAAGGATTTTCGCTCTCCACTCCCCAACCCCCTCCCCGTTATTGGGCGTACGGTGAACTTTGCGAAGCCCTGTCCCCCGCTGCCGGTCCCGAGGCCGGCGGAGCAGAGGGCTCCCGCCATCGCGGGGCAGATTCCCCGCTGGATGCGGCCCGGGAAGTGCCTGGTACAGCCCAGCCCTGGATGCTCTTCCCGTGCTTCCCTTTGGGCCGCGCAAATCAACGCGGTTCCCCCGCTTTTCCAGGGGGGTACCGGGCCGAGGCGAGCATCGCGGTGCTGCCACCGGGTGAGGGGGGCTGGGGGGGAAGCGGTCGCGCACTGTCGCGCCGCCGGCAGCGGCGACACCCGAGGGCGCCGACTGTGTCCGTGTGGGTTCGGCGCGGTGCCTCTCCTCCCACGGACACCGATGGCTTTCTGTGAGGAAAATCACCGCATCTAAGCCCTTTCCGTGGCTCCAGCCGCTCTCTACCAATGTATGCAGAATAAAAGTTGGGGGGCATTTGTTTATTTATGTGTTTAAGCTCAGGCTCACCCACGCCTGGTGTAGGGATAGATAGGTGTGCGGGTGCGTTTCAAAGCACGAGTCCCCCCGAGCCGTGTGCCCGACAACCAGGTGCCGATCAGCCGCGACGAAGAGTTTTCACACCGCTCCGCCCGAGCTGGCGGCCGTTTTTATCTCAGAGGCTGGAAACGCTTTAGCAGAGTAACGACTCCCTCAGTGCCGAGAGCGCCGGGTGCTGGCCCAGTTTTTAGTTCAAAGAGGGGGCTGCGCCTCGGCTGGGGACTCCTCCGGTGAGCGAGCCCCTTGCCCCGCCCCGGGCAGGGAGGGCCGGTGGAGCCAGGCCCGCTGCCGCCCGTCCCCTCCTGACGCCTCTGCCTTTCCTTCCCGCAGCAGGGCCCGGGGGGCCGCGGCGCCCACCCGGGCGGCCCGGAGCCGCCGCCGCCGCCCGCCGCCCCGCAGCCGCGGGAGCCCTTCGCGCCCAGCCACGGCAGCGCCTTCCACCTGCCCGAGCCCCAGCACGCCGCCGCGCTCTACTACGCCAGCTCCACGCTGCCAACGCAGCGGGTGAGCTCCCCGCTGCCCGCCCAGCCCGGCGGCTCCCCCACCAAGCTGCCGCGGGCCGGCTCCGCCGCCGAGGGCGCCGCCTACGCCGCCGCGCAGCGCCTCTCCTCCCCGAAGCAGTCCCCCAGCCGCCTGGCCAAGTCCTACAGCACCAGCTCGCCCATCAACATCGTCGTCTCCTCGGCGGGACTGTCGCCGTCCCCCATCCGAGTGACCTCCCCGCCCACCGTCCAGTCTAACATTTCCTCCTCTCCTATCCACCAGTTAAGCTCCACCATCGGCACTTACGCCACCCTGTCGCCTACCAAGCGGCTGGTTCACGCTGCCGATCAGTACAGCAAGCACTCCCAGGAGCTGTACGCCACCGCCACCCTGCAGAGACCCGGCTCCCTCGCAGGTAAATCGCGGCCGGCAGCGCTTTGGGGGAGAGAAAGTGGGATGCACGGTGCCGCCGCGCTCGTGACAGATGGGGGGGAATGGGGGGGGGATTGGCGGCCGCGGTGTGTCCCGGGGCTGCCGGCCGAGGAAGGAACGGAGCGGGGTGGGTTTGACAGAAGAGCGGTTTGGGGAGCTGGGGGTTTCATCCCGGCTGCGGTGAGCGGGGAGAGGCAGGCTGCCTGCCGGCTGCTTCAGGATACTACCTCGCTTCTCCCGGCGCAGCCCGGTGTCGGGCAAGGGTGGCGGTGTCGGGAGGGTGCGGGGCGGGCAGCGCTGGGCGCTGAGCTCCTTCCTCTTGCCCACGGATCGGGTGGGGTGTGTGTTACTATGGTGAATCCCTTCTCTGCCGCGATTAAAAACTGGGGGCCTTTGCAGAGAATTCGTTCTTCCCCGGGTTTACAGGCGGTTCTTGTCAAGTTTGGGGTTACTCAGCAGGAACTCCGGTGTACCAAGTTGTGCCGAGTAATAGGTAGCGGTTATTTGGCTCTGAGTGCTCTTTAGGGAATAGGCTGTATTTAATATCTCTGTAACCGCAGACTTTGAACAGATCCTAGAAGTGAGATGCTGGTGCGCTGTTCCTAAACCATCTCTGCTAAACTGAGCATCCTTCAGGGGTGGGTTTTTGTGTTCTCAAAATTCCCAGTTTCATTGCTATAGTAACAGCTGCTATGCTCGTATGTTCTCTTGTGTGACATAAATAGAATTGAAGATAAATAGGATACATAAAGAGGTTTGGCTGTGTATACCAGGCAGGTACACAAGTTTCTTACTGGAAACCTTTTCTCATCCCCCTTTCTCCTCTCTCATCCATCTCTTCTCCCCTCCTCCAGCAGCTGTTGGCATTCCATAGAAATAATTGCAGTGTGTTTAAACATACAGATTAAATTAAGTGATAATAAAATAGAGTATTAATGTATCTCCTTAAAAGAGCTATTTGCTAGGGGTATTCCTGTTTATACGGTGGGGATTTAAAAAACTTTGTTGTTGTTTACTTAACACTATTTCTGAAGTTCAGAATTTGAAGAGAGAATATCACTAAATGTTGCCAAAATCTTGATCTCGGGACGCATCAATCTTGTTGTGAAATATTCAGTCTTAAGTTACAAAGTGGTTTATTTAGCAATTCTATTAGTATAACTTTTCCCCTCTGTAGTCCAACGCACTGTTGGCCACAGGTATTAAATATGCCTTTGTAAAGTGGAAACGTAGAGTTGCCAGCAACTCTGTATTGCACGGAATTTTTCAACTTCATCCTAAGAGTTGTTTGAGCCTAAACAGGCATAGAGTGAACTGTCAGCATCAATGGAACAGAGGGTAATTCAATTTAGAACTTACACCTATGGGTATGAACTACCAGCATTTCCCTGATTTTCTTTGCCTTTGTTCTAGAGTAGAAGTCTTTGCTTTGGGAAGTTGCTAATGGGCACGGTCCATATTTTTCTTCATGTACTTTTAGCATTGGAATTTGTATTGTACTGGGTTTTGCTTGTTGAAGAAGGCATCTTCTGTATCCTTGCAGCATAAAACCTGTGATGATATCTTAGTCAAAATTTGCTCTATAGGGTGTAAGGCCCACGGTAGTGATTCTTAAGTGCTGCAGTGTTAGAGAAGCTGTTTGTCCTAGGCTCTACTCAAGTTGCAGTGCTGATTTGGACTTTGGGATTTTTGGGTAATAGTACTTGGACAGTCATTCCTAGTGGGGTTTTCTACCTTGATTTGAATACATGTTAAGAAACTGGCATTAATTTTCTTGGATTGCTTTTAAATAAAAGGTTTTGATAACATTTTGTCGTGGTTTAAACCCAGTCAGGTAATTCGTTTGCTCACTTCCCCCCCTTTTCTTGCCCTCCCCCTGCTCTCGGAGGGATGGAGAGGAAAATCGAAAAGAATGCAACTCCCACAGGTTGAGATAAGAACAGTTTAGTAACTAAGGTATAACACAGATCACTACTGCTACCACCAATGATAATAATGATACAGGAAATAACAAGGGAAGAGAGTACATCATCTCACCACCAGCCGACCGATAACTCGCCCCCCCAGCCCGACCAAGCTCTGACCGATACCTCCTCCAACCCTGCAGTCTCCCAGCCCTTCCGGCTCACTCCCAGTTACATCCTGGGCATGACGTGCTGTGGTATGGAATACCTCTTTGGTCAGTTTGGGTCAGGTGTCCTGTCTCTACTTCCTCCTGGCTTCCCCTCCTCCCTGGCAGAGCATGAGGCTCACAAAGTCCTTGGCCAAACCTAAACATCACTATCAGCTCTGTTCCCAAGCTGAAAGTCAAAACACTGCACTGCACCAGCTACCAAGAAGGGGAAAAATGACTGCTACTGCTGAACCCAGGACATTATCCACCCCTTATTCCATACCATTCACGTCATGCTCAGATCCCACATTTTCAATACACCCATCACTCCACTCTTATCTAAGTGCATGGACTATAAAGCTATATCCCTATAAAGCTGCTGAGTCCATCTGGTCCATGATGTCAGGCTCCATCGCTTGTAACAGTCTTCCAGAGCAGGAGAGACCGTGTGCAGTGTTCACACTCGTGAATAACCTGGGCAATAGTGTCCATTGCTAAATCCACCCCTCGATCATGAGTCCATCTCTATGTGGCATCTCTGCTCTGATGGCCTGAAGTGCCATGGGCCCACCAGGCTTAAAATAATTCACTGTCCCCTTAAGCAGTTTCTGCAGCTTGTTTCTGGGGACTCCATACAGCTGCCTTCCATCTCCGACGCTTCCAAAGCACTGGAGGGGCCCAGTGGACTAGATACTTGCCCATACTGTCCCACACACCCTGCCACTCATGACTCTCCAGCCTTGGGGAAAATCTCCTGGTCCTCCTATATCGTGTAACCCCAGACAAGACCCAAACCTGACTCTGCTTAACTTTTGAGATCAGACAAAATGGTTGTGGGTAGAACACAGTCCGTGTGTGTGCCAACATGCTGATCCCCATCACAATCAGCAGGCAGGTCCCAAGAACACCCAAAGGCCATTCGAAACCTTCAGAACTCTCAGTTGATGCCGCTGTACTTGTCACTGGGGCTGGTGTAGCTGCTGTGCTTGCCGGCTCTCCCACCGCCAGCTTCTCTTTTCCTGAGTCCAGCTCTTCCTCCTCTGCCTTGCTGGGAAATGCTGCGTGGTCTCCTGCATCCTCCTGGGGCTCGGCGGGCGGCTTCCAGGAAATGCTCTCGGCCGTCGGGGGGCTGGGCTCGGCCGAGGGGCTCGGCTCGGCCGCGGGGCTCGGCTCCTCCGCCGCCTTTTCCCGCTGCTCGGCAGCCGCTTCCTTCCGCTCCTCGACCGCCCCGACCTCCTCCACCGGCAGCCGTCCCCTCGCGGCCTCCGGCCCCGCTCCCGCCGCCGCTTGCTCCCCGGGGCCGCTCTCCCGGGCCGCTTCGGCTGCCGCCGGCTCCCGGGGCCGCTCCCCCTCGGCTCCCCGCAGCCTCACGAAGATGGAGAGTAGGGCGAGGGCCAGGACGGTGAAGAGCAGCCGGACGGCCAGGTACAAGTCCACGGCCACGTCCGTCCCGCCCTGCTGCTGGAGCCCGCCCGTATTACAAGCCATTGCCATAAAGCACAGTGAGACAAGAACCTTAGCCCAGGCCCCATACTTGATAAACACTATCACAGCAAATACCGGCTCTACGTAAGTTACAACATTCTGAAGCTGTGAGATCAAGCAAAACAACTCTGAGAGCCAATAAATCAGCATTGTGACGAGTGACTATTAATCAGTCAGATCTGTCGTTATCTCAACCCTTCGTGCCCCACGTTGGGCGCCAAAAAAGAACTGTCGTGGTTTAAACCCAGTCAGGTAATTCGTTTGCTCACTTCCCCCCCTTTTCTTGCCCTCCCCCTGCTCTCGGAGGGATGGAGAGGAAAATCGAAAAGAATGCAACTCCCACAGGTTGAGATAAGAACAGTTTAGTAACTAAGGTATAACACAGATCACTACTGCTACCACCAATGATAATAATGATACAGGAAATAACAAGGGAAGAGAGTACATCATCTCACCACCAGCCGACCGATAACTCGCCCCCCCAGCCCGACCAAGCTCTGACCGATACCTCCTCCAACCCTGCAGTCTCCCAGCCCTTCCGGCTCACTCCCAGTTACATCCTGGGCATGACGTGCTGTGGTATGGAATACCTCTTTGGTCAGTTTGGGTCAGGTGTCCTGTCTCTACTTCCTCCTGGCTTCCCCTCCTCCCTGGCAGAGCATGAGGCTCACAAAGTCCTTGGCCAAACCTAAACATCACTATCAGCTCTGTTCCCAAGCTGAAAGTCAAAACACTGCACTGCACCAGCTACCAAGAAGGGGAAAAATGACTGCTACTGCTGAACCCAGGACACATTTCTTCTGCATCTTGCGTAACAGAGGTACTTCCCTCCCTGCCTCTTTTTTAGGACCCACTGCAAGGAGTCATTTGTCATTGATTTATGGCTCGGGTGAAACAGAAACTTACAGATACATGCATTTAAGAAATGGCTGGTGTATTTTTGTGTGAATTTTAGTATGGGAGGGGGATAGTGATGGATCGTTTGAACTTGCCATTCAGTTTGTAAAAATTGGCAAAGCAACAGTAACTTTCCCAAGTGTTGTGCGGATCAAAACAAACATAATGAGCTTCGGAGTTGTCTCACAGGGATTTGCTTTTAAGATACGTGATAAAAATCTCAGTGTCTTATTTTACTACAAATGGAAAATCTGTAACGTGAACAAGTATTAGGTGATAGATTTAATTTTATTTTTTAAATGCTGTCTCTGCATGTCTAAGTGAAGCAACAGTATGTTAGTAAACACCATGTGGTTTCTTTCCACAGTGGTGACATGCCTTTCAAGTAGTCCTTGAAAGGAGCTCCATCACATGACCCATTCTTTTGCAAAAGTTTCCTATTGTGTGCTCCCACCCGTTCTTTTCCATTGCCATTCTGCGGCATGTTC